AGGCACAACATCATGTGCCTGCGCTGCTTAGTGATGGCAATTCTGGTAGTCCTGGTTGCAGTTGTTAGGCGAGGACTGCACCGTTGTTAGGTGAGGACCTCACACTTCTCCTGCCCCGCATGAACTGCTGGTTCCAATCCTGCTGCCTCCTCCTCAGCCAAGCCCAGCAAGCTCCCTTTGGCAGACGAGGCTCCACTTCAACTCCCCCCACCAGCCTATATCCTCCCCATCTCTGCCCTTTTGGCTGCTTTGCAGTGCTGCCGCCTATCCCTGCCACACCCCCTGCCAACCTTCACCATCTTCTTCCCGCTGCTGGCCTGAGATTCAGGTGCTGGGCAAGGGCGCAGTCATGCAATGCATGCGGCAGGGTGGTGGAGCCTCATCGGGGAGCTTGCTGGGCTTGGCTGGGGTGGAGGCAGCGGAATGGAGCTGGTGGAGGTTCCCCAGGCAAAGGTGGTGGCCGTCAGCACTGTGCACGGGCTTGCAGTCATAAATGCGGGCTGGTTGCCAAATTTTGATCACATGACTGCAGGGGTCATAACTTCAAATAGTCGCCAAATGAATGGTCATTAAGCGAGGACTACCTGTAGCATCTACTTAACTTTCCTCTTCACATATTTTTCTGGTATTCTGGAAAAATAAATGATCTCCTTAAACATTGTTATTATTGTGTCTAATAAGAACAGGTATTTTGCCTGCCTTTCATCTTTCAAAGATCTATATAGAGGACACAATTTTTTCCTGAATATTTATTTAAATTTAGTGATCTTATTTGTTTCATTCTCCCTCTCTCTCTCTCATACACGCACATCCTTCCAGTTAGCATTCCTGAAATATATTACCATTTCAGCAGTCCTTTTCTGAACCCTAACAACTTAATGCAAAACACATGTTTTTTGACAACCTAAAAAAACACAGTTCACTCAGCTGAACTGATACCATCGTAATGCTAAATTCATCAGAAAATGTATGAATATGTAAAGTTTCCAATTCCAGATCAGCTGCATGTTGATTGCACGTTAATACCATAAAGACTTTTAAGCATATTTTATATATGTATTTCTTAACAAAATTTCTATATCTCAACATAAAGAAGAATCTCAACATAAAAGTAGCAACCCAATATACATGAATGAACAATAAAACAACCAACAGATATTTATTTATTTATTTATTTATTTATTAAACTTATCCCCGCCCATCTCCCCCCAATGGGGGACTCTGGGTGACTTACAACATATTAAAACAATAAATAAATATACAGTTAAAATTTAGAGGACACATTTACAAAGAATAAAAGGAAAAGTTTTTACTCTCTTTTGGCCCACTCTTACTGCAAAAATAAAGTATTTCTTTAAAACATAGCAGCAATGTTTTTGTTTTCTGCTTCTCTTTGCAGGATTCTTGTCAGATAGACTTGGTGGGCCTCCCAGATGCATAGTTTCTAGCTTGTGGAAAATGTAATCAAGGCATTGTCTCACTAAGATAAGATGGTTCCTTACTAGGCATCAAAACCAACAAGGTGTACTTAAAAAGGAAACTTTCCTAAAAGCCTAAAATGAGTGGGCCAAGTATTTCTAGGGGCAGGATATAAAGCGTCAAGCCACTACAGAGAAGACCCATCTTCTGGACCACATCTCAATTCTTTCACACATCCTTAGGGACCAGGAGGGAGTTGACTCTTTTTAATCTGGTTGGACAAGTAGATTAATACAGGAGAAAGCGTATCTCAGATAATCCGGCCTGGAGCCATATAGGGCCTTAAAGGTGACAACCAACACCTTGAATTGCATGCAGAAGCTGATTGTAACCAATGTAGCTCCAAAAGCAGTGGGGCCAGCTGAGTATATTGAGATATATCTATCACTGTCCAGGCCACTGCATTTTGCACCAGCTGTAGCTTTTGGATGTTCTTCAAGGGCAATCCCATGTACAGTGTGTTACAATAGATCACACAGTTGTGACTAGGGCATACGCGAATGAGAGTAAAGCATCCTGATCCAGGAAAGGTTGCAACTGATACACAAGATGTACCTATGCAAAAGGTCTTCTAGCCACAGCTACCACTTGCTCTTCAAGCAGGAGCTTTGAGTGTAAGAGAACTCCCAAATTGCAGACTGCCTCTGAGTAGGGGAGTACAGAGCAATTCAGGGTCAAAGATGGAATTTCCCTAGAATCTTTGGGCCACAAACCAAGAGCTACTTCATCTTGAGGGATTCATTTGAAGTCTGTTCCTCCCCATCCAGACTCTGACAACCTCCAAGCACTGGGTCAGCACTTGTAAAACATCACCTATTTGATCCAGGGATGAGATGTAAAATTGGGTATCATCAGTATATTGATGATACCAAATCCCATGTGGGCAAATGATCTCCCCTGGAGATTTCATATAGATATTAAAAACTGTAGGAGTAGAGAGAAGAGAGATCCCTGAATCACTCCACAAAGCGGAGGTGGAACTGACTCTTCAGGAAGGAGGAGAATCACTGCAAAATAGTGCTCCCCCAATCCTTTAGAGATGGTCCAAAAGGATACCATGGTTGATGGTATCAAAAGCCGTTGAGCAATCAATGAGGACCGCAGGGTGTTTATCCCCCTGAGCCTGGTCTCTCTGAATGTGAAACCAATACAGTTTCTATGTTGCTTCCTGGCCTGAACTATGATTGACAAAGGTCCAGATAACCCACTTCCTCTGAGGTCCTTTGCAGTTGTGCACCCACCATTTTCTCCACAACCTTTCCATCAAAAGGAAGGTTGCGGACAGGTCTATAACTGTCAAAGCCAGTTGTATCGATCAAAGGCTTCAAGATTGGGGTGCACTATCACCTCCTTCAGAGGCAACAGAAACAACCTTTCACTTAAAAAAAGCATTGATTACTGCTCAGATTCAACCATCTGCATTGTTAACCAGTCATGAGGGACAGGGATCCAATTGCAAAATGGTGGAACTAACATTGCAGACGGCCCTATCAACTTCCTCAGGATTCACAGACTTAATATGATACCAGATAGCTTTACAAGACAAGGCTCGAGTCATCTCCATTCACGCTGCCCAGCTGGACAAAAGCTCATGTTGGATTTGAGCAGTTTTGCCTATCAAATGCTGTGAAAATTCTTCACAGCTTTCTTGCAGACATTTTTGGCAAATATCCTTCCCTAAAAGTGAACGAGTCACGTTAAAAGAGGCTGCTGGATAGCACTTAGCTGACACAATAAGGGCAGCAAAATATTCCTTTTTTGCAACTCAAATCACCACTGCGTAGATTGAAGATTCAACTTGTAAAGAGTCCAGTCAGACTCAAGACATGTCTTCCTACAGCAGTGGACTAGGCATCTCTCCTACTGCTTCATCAGTAAACCAAGTGGGTGTAGTCTGAACTACAAACAGGGAGATGCCACTCCAGAGCAACCCAGTCCAGTGCCCCAGACAGCCCTTTATTCCATTGAACAACCCAAGTCTCAGTCGAGCTGTCTACCAGTTCCTCAGAAAACTCCCCAAGAGACCTCTGAAAACCAACAGGATCTATGTGGCACCTGAAGCAGATTGATATATCCTTTCTTTACTGCAGAAGAGGGATCACACTGCAGAACTTCATAGCAATCAGAGAGTGAGCTTTCTATAACAAGGGGCAAAGTTCAATGCCTTCCAACTTCAAATCAGCTGCGTATGCCCTGAGTCGAAAGACAAGTCTAGCATCCATGTGTCAAACCCTCAATAGGTTGGATCAGGTCCATGGTTGACATGGCAGCCATGAAATCCTGGCCTGCTCCAGACCTCTTGCTGAGGGAGGGTAAGTTGAAATCCCACAACACTATCAGCTCAGGGAACTTCACCACCACCTCAGCAATCAGGTTGAGCAGCCCTGGAAAAGGCATGGCTTCTTTAAGGAGCAGCCAGCAAATACAAAAAGGGTATCCACACCACATCTGAAGCATCCTTGCCTGTTTCGATCTGAATACTGCATACTTCTTAAACAAAAATTGTGGAAATTATTTAACTAGAAAAGTCGATACTTGGTTTAGTTCCTTTTAAATCAAATTTATAATTAAAAAATTGACAGGTTTAATAGAACAGTTACTTATTTAAAAAAGACAACAAATTTCTTGGGATGCAAGAGGATCTGAGGTGTTATATGGATATACAACAGATTCTTTATAAGAGTTTCCATTGGCCAAGATTCTTTCATAATTTATAGAGAGAATTTTTTTTTTTCATAGCAAAAAATATTTGAAAGTATTTCACAGGTTCTAGCATTCATTCAACTACACAAATAGTTACGTTTAGGCTATCAATGGGACTTAAACCTGGTACCCTATCATATTTCAAAATGTCACTATGTACAAATCATATTTCATCTATTTGATTCTTTTCCCTAAGAATGCTAATATTTCTGACAGACTATACTGAAACTGACTCATTGCAATCCTTAATTTTACATTTTTAAAAAATGAATTCTTTTTTCCAGCCCTGCTTCAAAGCATGCACAGAACATTTTTATTAGCCAGTTATCCCTACATATATCCATGATTGGAACTAGACATCATTGTCCCATGAGAAAGGGCAGTTCCCTGTTCAATGATAAGCCACAGGCTGCAGCTGCATGGATTCATGTTTATGAACACATTTAATAAAAAGAAAAAAAAACTTGCTAATAAAGAAATGTAAAAGTTAAAATGATGGAAGCAATAACAGAAAACATTTTTTAGAAGTTTAATCCTGGAAGTTCAAATTCATTTTTCAAGTTTTATCTACTTCAATAAGAACCAGACTTTATTACAGTTCAGAGATCCCATAACACACACAATATAAATTAAATTAATATTACTTTAAACACCAACAGAACAACAAGAAGCAAAACCAGAATAAATATGCCAAGGAAGTATTTTTAATAAGCAGAACTTGTTGCTTTAAAAATCTAGATTTGCTCTTTTTATGTATTGCTATTGTTCAAATAAATCCAAATAAAAGGTGAAGCTTTAATGCTGCTTCAGTGCCTTACCAGTATCATGTGACCAGTGGAGATGTCCATATTAGATTGGACTGGTTCTTCACACCAGGATGAAGTGCTACTTCGAGTAGAAGGACTTGGAATAGGTCCATCACTAAACTGTGAAGATATGCTATTAATGCGAGAAGCATGTAGAGGCTCTGAACGATCTGAGGTTTTCACCGCCATACGCTGACGGCATAATTCCTAAGAGACAGAAAATGTCACAGGATTAAAATCTAGTACTGAAGGAATCATCTGTGAAAACATGGATTGAACATATTTTTGCTCTAACCTACATACAGACTGAACTCTGTTCTGAAGTTGGAATGTACAACTGTGTACCAAACAGTAGAAAAACACTAATATTTCCATGTATCTGTGAGCAGGACTGCAGCCAGTATTATAACTACATTTCCATAGTTAATATTATCTTTGCCAATTCTTTAAAAATACAAGATTTGAAAAATATACAAATTAAAGGCTAAAATATGACCACTGCAACACTAATTCCAATAGAGCAACTCTGAAATAAATTGTTATAGAGTGTCCATTATATTCATCAAAATATATTAAACACATTTTCTGCTCCATTTCAATTTAACATGATACACATTATGGGTTGGAGAATTCAAATAACTTATTTAATGCTACTCTGAATCATAGTAATTATATTACACATATTTTGTGAGTATCAAGAATTAGGAAAGGTATATGATTTTACCAAGTAGTTACAGTAATGATAGACTGCATTTAATAAAATCAAAATTAGCCAGAATCTATATAGATTCTAAAATATAGATTAACTCTGATTTATGAAAATAATTAGAGCAATTATGTTACACTTCAATATTTACCTGAACAAGTACTGCTTAGAACTAATAAATAACAGATATAACTAGCACAAGAATTTTTTTTTTTAAGTATCTATACCATTTCTAGAACTAAGTTTCTACTAAGTCAATAATCTTTGAAATAATTTGATCAGTGCTTCAATGGATGACCCTTAAAGCTGCTAAATTATCCAAACACAGATAAATAAAATGGAAAAACAAATCATTGTGTCCATTCTGAAACTTTCCCACCTTGACTTTTCAATATATGTTTACATAAATGGCATGTACAATGTGATGAAATGTAAATTTCTTGGATTTTTATGAGTACAAATGAGACAATGAAAGGGCATTTTATAATATTTTAGAATCAATATTTTATTTTTATGTATTGATTTATTCATTTATTTTATATCTCACCACAATCCAATATGGCTTTCAATGGTCCATTATACAGCTCTCATTCCCATTTTCTTTCCCATCTATTTCACATCAAAATACAAAACTAGAGTGAATTTTGACACTTACATTACTTTGGGATATCTGGATTGCAAAAATTATAGTTTTTAGGGGAGTAACATTATCTCTTCTCCTTTTTATAAAATATATTGTATCTGTATGTAATATGTCCATGAATACATGCATACGATTTATTATGATAAAAATGGTTTATAGTGGTAGATTTCTAATTAGCACTTAACTTAATCAGCTCATTTCATCTATCCCATCCATTATAAACAAATCTATTTTTTGTATGTAAAATGCTGTGTTAGCTCCACAAAAACCAGCTTAGTGCTAATTTACTGTCTGGTACTTTGTTTTTTAATTATTAGGGTGTCAGACTGTGAGTTCAAGTCTTCATTCAGTCATGGAACCCACTGGGCGACTTCACACCAATCATTTTCTCTGACCCTAATCTATCTCAGAGGGATATTTCTATGAGGATTAAATGAGGAACGTACAGTACCCACGAGAGGAATGTACCCACATACAGTACATTGCCTTGTATTCCTTAGGTGAAAAACAGAATGCAGAAGTAATAAATACTGATAGCAAAGATAACTCTGACTGCCTACCACAAAGAGCATCATCTACAAACTTCTGCCCTCTGGAACGAGACTCCCCCTGAGGTCCAGGTGGCCCCCAGCTTCCTGGGTTTTGGAGGGTCTTGAAGACCTAGCTCTTCACTCAGGCCTTTGACAAGGGTAATTGCAGCCCCCTTCTGGGTAGTGTAGGTTTGCTTCTTGTTGCTGTCCAGTTTTTGCCATCTTTTGCTCCTTGTATTTACTATTGCATTGTTTTATTGTTTTCTGTGTTTTTATTTGCAAATTTTACTGTTGCTGGGAGTCAAGTTGTGTTTAATCTATCAATCTTGGAGGAATCTTATATTTTATAATTTATTTTATAATTTTGTAAAGTACAAAATTATTTAGGGAAAAAACCTGAAATAGTAAAAAAGGATAACTGAGCTGTCACAACAGAGAAGCAAGTAATTTGAGAAGACCCTTCTGAACAAATTTTAAGACATGAATAGACTTATATTGAGAGATAATTTATTTTCTTTAAAATATATCATCAATTATGCTTAAAACACTGTTGATGTTCACTCAAACCACTGTGTGGGTCACACGTATAGCTTTATAACAATGAAAATATTAAGATCTTCTCTGCCACTAAATAAACTGATAGAATAAGGAAATATTGGTGTAGTCTGCACTTCACATGAAGCTATTGTTTAATGATGGTTTGTTGTATTATCAAGCACTAGCTGAGTTGTAGAAATTACAAACCATCAGACACAAACAGGGATGTCTGCCAGGTGGGGTCAACAGCATCAGATGGTAGACCTGACCAAGCAATCTAAGCCCCACCCCCTTTTTAACATGTCACATGCATCACATGCACATAAAAAGGGGCAATCATTGTTGTCACACATGTTACTTAGATGCTGTTGTCCATTCTCATTGCTGCCTGCTAAGCTAAAACCAAATAAAATATTAAGGCCTAGCAGGTTGAATAATCCAGCTAATTACGTTTAGTGATCTAAACGCAATTTATTTCAGTCAGAGCATATAAATATTTATACTGTGGTGTGTAGGTATACGCCAAAGAGTGCAATGCTTCTAACTAATCCACCCATGTTCTAAACTATGTTGAAACTGTTGCCTGTCTAGGCCTAGGCCAGAGACTGCTCTCAACTGGCAATTGAAAGTAGATATTAATATATTATTTGACAGTTTAATTACTGTATTAGCAATCAGTGCCATATGTTCCTATAGTCCTGATTATGAAACAAATGGGTAAAACTGTATGTGCTGTTGTGAGAGGCACAAGCAATTGAACAGACTGAAGTATAACTTAATTTTTTACAGGAGATAGAACTTCTTATACAACATCACTGGAAATGAGAATTTTTCATATCGCTCACTTATCGAACAGAGCTATAATTTAACAAGAACTAAACTGATGTGCACTAACTGTTCAATTAGCAAGCATTTATTCACAAAATATCTGTTTTTACAGTTCATGCCTGCTAGAACTGTAATTTTTATTTTATTATTTATTATTGAATTTATACCCTACCTTTCTGTTTATCCAAACACGAAAAGCAGCTCACAACAATAAAAAATAACTGAAAACAAAATAAATCCTATTAAAAACAAAATTGCAGCAATCAGTTAAAATAAAAAAGCTTGGTGAAAGAAATGTGTTTTTACCATCTTCCTAAATACTGCAAGAGTATTTAGCATACCTCCTTAAGGTATGCTAAATACCTTAAGCATACCTCCTTAAGGAGCCTAGTCCATAGCACTGAAGCCAACAGGAGAAGGCTCTTACTCATGTACCCAGTAGTTGAACTTCTGACAGTGCAGGCATCCTTCAAAAAGGCCTCTCCTACATAGTCAGGCAAGTTTACAGATGTGGCCTACGTATTGGTATCCCTCCACTTTTCCCCAAAGAATCCCAATTTACAGGGAAATAAGTTGAAACAGACACAAGTAAATGATACTTAGCATTCTTTATTGCATAGTCCATAGAGCAGGCACTTTGGTTTCCATGTATGACTTAATATATTTGTATAAATAATAAAACAAATGAAAATGGCATGATGTAATCATTGGTACTTCTTAGAAGTTAAAAGACATTATTGGATTTTAGTGATCTCTCAAGCAGACTATTTAATTAGTATGACAGGTGTCTTCAATCTCATAATTAGTCACTTGGCCTATTTGAATGGAGAAAAGTACTCAGGTGTTTTGTGTTGCAGCGAACATGAAAGTGAGAAAGAAAAGCAGGGAGTTGTCTGAGGAGGAAAGGATGATAGTAATAGCCAAGCATGGTAAAGATAAAAGCTACAAAACCATTTCCAACGAGTTTCATGTTCCTGTGACCATGGTTAATATTATTAAGAAGTTTAAGGTCCATGGGACCTTAGTCAACCTCCCTGGATGTGGCCACAGGAGGAAAATTAACCCCAACTGAACAGAAGGATAGTTTGAATGACAGTGAAAGAACCAAGGAAGACTTCAAAAGAGATCCTGGCTGACTTCCAAGATTAAGATACAACAATATCAAGTTGCACCATCCATCGCTGTCTTACTGAAAGTGGCAGAAAATCCAGGAAGACCCCACTTCTGAAAGACAGACACAAAAAAGCCAGACTGGAGTTTGCTAAAATGTATGTTGATAAGCCACAGTCCTTCTGGGAGAATGTCCTTTGGACAAATGAAAGCAATGAGCTTTTTGGTAAGTTACAGCAGCTCTATGTTTACAGAAGAAAACGATTTTAAACAAAAGAATGCCATCCCTACTGTGAAACATGGAGGAGAGACCATAATGTTATGGGGTTGCTTTGCTGCCTCTGGCACCAGGTGCCTTAAATCTATGCAGGGCACAATGAAATCAGAAGATTATCAATGCATTCTAGAGCAAAACATAATGCCCTATGAATGCTCTGTCTAAGTCACAGGTCATAGGTCCTCCCCCAGGATAATGATGCAAAATATACATCTAAGAACATGAAAGTGAGAAAGAAAAGCAGGGAGTTGTCTGAGGAGGAAAGACTAGTTGAAAAGCAAACGTAGGACTGTTCTGAAGTGGCCTGCTATGAGTTTTGATGTGAAACCAACTGAACATCAATGGAAAGAGTTGAATCTCTCACTTGAGAGAAGGAACACATCAAACCTAAAACAACTGGAGCAGTTTGCCCAAGAAGAGTGGGACAAACTGCCAATTGAGAAGTGTAGTAGTCTTATTCAGAGCTACAGAAAGCACTTAATTGCAGTTATTGTGTTAAAAGGGTATGCTACGAAATATTTGGTTAGGGGTATCAATAATTATGTCCATACCATTTTCTTTTATTATTTACAAGAA